TTGGGGCTCCTCACGCTCCCTCATCCTGATTTCTTTCTTTCTTTTTGGAGACAGGGTCTTGCTCTGTCACCCAAACTAGAGTGCAGTGATGCTATCATAGCTCACTGCAACCTCAAACTCCTGAGCTCAAGTGATCCTCCCGCCTCAGCCTCCAGAGTAGCCAGGACTACAGGTGTGCACCACCATGTCTGGCTAATTTTCCTACTTTTTTGTAAAGACGGGGTCTCACTCTTGCTGAGGCTGGTCTTGAACTCCTGACCTCAAGCGATCCTCCTGCCTCGGCCTCCCAGAGTGCTGGCATTGCAGGTGTGAGCCACTGTGCCTGGCCCCTAACCTTGATTTAACTCTCCTTTTTCCTCTTGGGATAGACCATCCTGGCCACGGGACGGCTGGGTCCCTGGTTTGTGGGAGGGCATGCACGGGCAGGGGGGCATCAGGGCAGCACCGGAGTCACCCCCTCCCCCCTCTACCACATTTGCCTGTCTGTGCTCCCTGCTTTTCATCTCCTCTCATGCTTTTTCTTTCTCCTGCTATTTTTTCCACCCTCCCAGCTGCCTGAGATCCTCAGAGCACATCTCTTAGTTGTTTTGGAACCCAAAAGGCTCACTCCCACCGGTGGCCCCCTGATCACCGCATTGGTGGTTCTGCCTCGGGACTAGGATGGCTGCCTGCGCCTCCCCGTAAGCCTGGGAGTCCTCCACGTCCCATCCTCCACACGCTCAAATGTCACCAGGGGATCTGGAGCTTGGAGCTACACCAGCGGGATCTACCTGGCAGCCAGCCGAGACAGCAGGGAGGAGGGCTCCAGGCACCCAAGCCCACTTGCAGCACGTGGACCACAGGCAGAACTGTGTCACCTGCTCTGCACCACCAGAAGGGTGCAAATTCCAGAGGCCTGAGCAGGCCCCAGCTGGTGCTGTCCTCGGATCACAGACACGGAGGCCACCTGTTGTTGGAGGTGTTCCTTCCAGCACCTGCCACACCTGCAGGCCTCACACTTACCTCTCCCCTATTCCGGGCTCCCAACCTTGGGAGCTGCCACCAACTCAGGTTCCAGACACATCCCTGACAGGTCCTTCCAGGGACAGCGTCCAAAACTGAGACCCACTTTCCCCACGATCCTCCCCTCCACCTGCCATTCAGGCCTCCATCCCCAAATCCTGCAAACGCATTTCACATCGTCACGTGGCCACTTCTGAATTTTGCTTATCTGATCTGGAAGTCTATCCGACAGCGATTATTTGCCAAACCACGCGGAGTCTGACTTACTCCACGCCACGCCCTGGCCGTCAGGGAGGGTCTGCAGGCAGCCCACGCACCCCGACCACACAGTTTTCACCCCACTTTCTCATGTGCAGTTTCACCTTCCCAGGGCAGGGAAACAGGTCTTCTCCCTTTACACCCCCTGGGGCAGAGTCGGCCACCCCATAATTGCTTGTTGAAACACAGACGAGCTTGATACAAAAGTCAGGCTGTACAAACAGGCAACACGGATCAATCACGCACTGCCCAGGAGTTGCCAACAGCTCCTTCAAAGAGCAGCACTGGCCCCTTGCCCTGGAGGCCTGACTCAACTCGCAGGAATCTGACGCTGCCTCGCTTCCCCCAGCACATGTGTCCCGGAGACAGAGGCGTTTTTGAGTGTGTGCTGCATGTTTTCTGAGGTGGCCCCTACTACCTGTCTGGCCCCCTCACCGTACCCTGTGGGAAGCAGGCCACCCTTGGCCTGCTCGCCCTGGGACCAGCACGTGGGCCTTGGCTGTGGGCCCCTCTCTAGCTGGTGCTGGAAGCCCTCAGAGGGTTTGCAGAAAGCAATTTCTAGAGTGGGAACATCCTGGGAGAGATGGCATCGCAGAGGTCTTCTAGAGTAACGTGGCTTTGGGCATCGCCACCCAGGCCAGAGAGGAGGTTTTATTCTCCGGATTTGCCCTCGATTCTAGAAATCGGCCCGAGCAGCCTGTGTCTGCCAAGCAGCTCAGCTGGCTCGTAACTCCGGGCTCCAGGCATGGCACTGCCTGAATGGCGAGCCCACGGCTGGTTTCCAGCCAGATCACTGGAGCTGCGCAGCCTCGCGGTAGACGGCGAAGGACTCCATTAGGTGGGGGGAATCAGGCCAGCAGCACGCGAACGGCGCCGTAACCGAGACACAAAATGCTTCCCGTTCGTCCCGATCTTCACAGAAAGGACAGGGATCCGGGGCCTTCCAGGAAGAAACCAGATCATCTCACCATCGCTTCATCTTAAACATCACAATCTCATAATGAATTCTCTTTGCCAACCACAGTTCTAATCCTACAGCTGCAAGAGCTACCAGGGAGATACCTCCCAGGAACCCTTACACAGGCGGACAGAAATCTGACTGTTCCCTAAGCCAATCGCCTCTTGTAGACACCAAGCCATTTAACAAGCTTGCACACAGCAAGAGCAAGAGGAGCCAGCATGCCACATAAAAAGTCAGCCTTTATTAACCCCCAACGTATACCCTTTTCCAAGACCCCTGGGCCACAGCCATGGTTCCACAAAATCACCTGTGGGGCTTTTAAAATTACCAAAGCTGAGGTCTCTGCTGTATCTGCAAAGGGACCCTCTGTATCTGCAAAGGGACCCTCTGTATCTGCAAAGGGACCTGGGTCTGTGCAATCTTTAAGAGCCCTCCAAGGCAACTCTGCTCTGAGCCAGAACGGGGAAGCATTGCTGCGTAAGTCACAAACATGCATCACTTAAAAGAGAATAGAACATTGGAGAAGAGGCGGGCCACTGCCGTCACCGTGGGGTTTATTCCAGAGGCCCACCCTGGGATGTCCTCTGCTGCTCGTCCCGGGTTGGCCGAGAACAGAAAAGGTGACTGGGAATGAGAGGGCAGTGTGGGTACACTGGGGGGTGTAGTTTCCCCTCGAGTTCATGTCCAGCCAGAACTCTTTGCTGATGTAATCAAGTTAAGATGAGGTCATCCTGGATTAGGGTGGGCCTCAAATCCAGGGACTGGTGTCCTCACAAGAGGGAAGCTTGGACACACAGCAGAGAAGCCTCCGTGAAGACAGAGGCACAGACTGGAGAGAGGCTCCAACAAGCCAAGGACACCAGGACTGACTGGAGCCCGCAGAACCTGGACAGAGGTTCTTCTTTGGGACCTCGGGAGGGAACCAACCTGCTGACACCTGGATTTCAGATTTCTGGACTCCCCAACTACGAAGGAATCAATCCTATTGTTTTAAGCCGCTTGGTTTGGGGGGATTTGTTACAGCAGCTGCAGGAAACTAATGCTCTGGGCTTTGCAGTGCTGCTCTGGCATTGATTGGGCCTCTGAGCTGGGATGGGGTTAAAAGTTTTAGCTACAGAATGATTTTGATGCAATGATTTGGACACCGATGCCGTAATCCAGGCAGAGGGGAGCACCGCGCAAAGCAAGAAGAGCCTGGTGCCGCACGCCACCGCTGCTCGGACCCTGTCGCTCCCGATCCAAACCCACGGCAGGAACAGAAGCGGCTGCCTAGACGTGCTCCCCAGGCCGCTGAGCGCCGGGGTGCTCCCAAGGCCCAGCTCCTTCCTGCTCGGCTCCTGTGAACCAGAGTCCTCTGAGCCTCAGTGTCCTTCTGGGCTTGGCTCGATTCTGCCCCCACAGCTCTCCGGTCGTCCGAGGAGGCTACACAGGGTGGATTCTTGGGGGACACCCCCAACAAAGACCTATCCTGGCTTCCTCACTGAAGGAGCCTCTCCTTTGCCCCCAGAGCTTGTGAGCACTACAACCAAACTGGAGAAAAGGCCTCATTTCCCCCAAATCGGGTTCTGTGGAAACCGCTCTGCAAGCAGGTACCACACCCTCAGCCCAGGTGGCCTGAGCCACGTGATCTCCACAGATGGGGGCAGCTGAAAACCCCAAGCTGGGCAGCTGGCAGCTGAAAGAGCTCCCTGGGTGGGGCACGAAGTCCTGGGAGGTGGCACCCGAGGGCACTGTGGACAACAGGAGGAACAGGGAAACCCTGGCTTCTCTCTGGGCAGGTGAGGGATGCCAGCCTCGCAGCCTCTGGCCCGGCACAGGGTACCCAGAGGCCGTCAGAAACAAATGAAAGGGAAGGCAGAGGGGCTGTCCGGGCCCAGCTGCGGTGTATCTGAATTTGGCCCAGGAAAAACCGCCTGCCAGCGCCGGGGCTGAGGAGGCCTGCAGGTGTCAGCCCTGGGTGGAAACCTCTGGGCCAGCTGGCTCCTTCCGTCGCTGCCGCCTCCGCGGATCAGAACAAACAACTGGCCCCTCCTCCCTCCCCCCTCGCCAGTGCCCATCTTTGGGGGCAAGGCATCCAGAGGGTAAAGCAGCCACGCGGGCCCGCCTGGAAAGTCTCCAGTTTTTGCCTATGTCCTGAAAAAACAGCCACAGACAGCAAACCCTCAGGGGTCCTGGTCCCTGCCCAGCCATTTGTAGGGCCTTTTGGACAGGGCCCCAAGCAGGGAGCTAGGCCACAGGACTCCACCGCCATTCTCGCAGCCGACTGCAGCCCGTGGAACCTGCCCTGGGTCGGGGGGCTTCCGGGCTGCCCTGGCTCCATCCGTGAGCCCCCAGATGGGGCTTTTGGGAGAAGCCCCAAGAGAGACGCCCTTCCCCACCCGGCCCTAAGCCAAGAAAAGCCCAACTCCAACCTCACCTGTGAAAGTTTCTTCCCAGGGTCCCCAGCCCTCCAGCTCACCTCCACCCCACACTGTGTCCCCCACGCTCCCCGCCCCCAGGGCTGGCATCCCAGGGCGCGTCGCCTGCCAAAACCCAAGCCGTTCCCTGGCTCCCTTTTCTGGGGCTGGAGCTGCAGCGGAATTTCGGTGGAATTTTGAGGTTGCGAAGCATCTCAGCAAAGAGAGGGAAAGCAGGGGAGAGAAGGGAGGGGAAAAAGAAAGTAGGATTGGGGCGTCACTTGCAGGATTCGGGAAGGGGCCGGAGCGGGAGGGCGCCGGCGAGGGCTGGGTCTCCGGGCGGCGGGGGAGGTGGCCCACGGGCGCGGGGCGCCGCTCCTTACCTACATCTGCATTGCAAAACGCCTGTTGCGGGTGCACCGGGGAGCAGCTGCAGGCGTCGGCCGGGCGAAGCAGCGTCCCCAGCAGCAGGAGGCCGAGCGCCAGCCGCAGGCTGCGGGCCGCGGCGCCCATGGCGGGCTGGGGGCTTGGCGGTCGGGCGGCGCCGGCTGCGTGCGGCTGCGGACAGGCGGGCGCGGGCTTCGCGCTCGGCCCCGGGCGCCGGGCCGGGGGCTCGGCGGGCCTCCGCGGCGCGCCCTCCTCACCTGGCCCACTCGCCGCGCGAACTTTCCGGGCTCTTTGTCTCGGGGGCGGCGAGGGAGCGGCGGGGGCGCGGCCACCGGACGGAGGAAGAAGGGTGGGGGCGGCGAGCGCGCCGCAACCGTCTCCACTCCGCGGTGCCTCCGGGGACGCGTTGGCTGCGGGCGCGGGCCGCGCCGCCCTTTTATTGCGCTCGGAGGCGCCTCGGCTCCGCCCCCGGTGGCTGCCGGCCAATGCGGGCCCCGGGCGCTCCCGGCCGCCCCCCGCCCGCGCCGCCCGCGCCTCGCCGCCCTGCCCGGCCCGGCTTTTGTTGCTCCGGGCCCGGCCCGGACCCCCCAGCGGCGCTGGGCCCGGACGAGCGCCGCGCACCTGGCCTCCGCGGGCCCTGGCTCCGCGCGGGGACGCGCCGCCTAGCCCTGCGCCCCCAGCGTGGCTCTGGAGGGGCGCACGCGTGCTCCGCGGCCACCCCGGGTCCGTTAGAGGCTAGTCTCGGGTTGAGCAAAGGGATGTGCCCTTTGGAGCGGGGGCCACTCCCTGCCCCACCCCCCATGACCCCTGTGGGCTGGTGGCCTCGGGAAACTCACTGAGGACTCTTTTTCTAAGGGAGGCCTTAGGATTTTAAGTGCGCTTGGCCGGTTTGTTGGGCGGGGAGGAGAGGGAGGCGTGGTTACTGTGCACAAAACAGGATTTTATGTAGACGGGCCATATTTTTGACCAGCCAACGAGAGACAGGGTGGGCCCAGGAGCCAGTGGGACCCTACGCACCGGCCAGGTCCTCTCACAGGCCCTCCCTGGGCCGTCCAGTGCGTAGCCGAAGGACTTGTCCCAAAACAGGTTTGTGTTCCAGGAAGGACCATAAAAGTGTGGACATGTGAGGCTGGTAAATTGGTGACCGCGGGGCTTCCTATGCGTCAGTGAACCCGCCTGTTCCCCACGTGCGCCCTGCGCGCCCCACCTGTGTCTCACTGGGCTCAGCGGGCGCTGTCACCCACTCCTGCCCTCGGCACGTGGGCACTCCAGCTAAGGAGACATAAGCCGAGGAAAACAACACAATAAAAGACTTACTGGCCGAGGCAGGAGGATCGCTTGAGGCCAGGAGTCACAGATCAACCTGAGCAAGAGCAACACCCCTACCCCCTGTGTACAAAAAAAGCATAAAAATAGGAAAACTAGCCAGGTGTGATGGCACCTGTAGTCCCAGCTACTCTGGGGGCTGAAGCAGGAGGATGGCATGAGCCCAGGAATTCAAGGCTGTAGTGAGCTATGATTGGGCCATGCACTCCAGCCTGGGCAACAGAACGAGACTCTGTCTTTAAAAAAAAAGAACTACCACTAAACTGTGTGGTGCCAACTTGAGGTACGAAGCTTTGGAAAAACACTGAAAGAATGGAAAAACGGTTTCTTTCTGTTTATGTATGCTCTGAAACAGACAACTTGGAGAAAAGTTAGATAGGCAGAGTGGTTATTTTTAGCGCCCTGACAAATCCAAAGTCACCTTTTCAGCTTTGTTTGTGTAAACTAGAGTTATGTCATTCACGAAATGACGCTTGAGGCTAACTTTTTAAAGTACGGTTGATTCAGAAAATTATTATGTGTCAGCTGCCTGTGGCCTTTCAGTTTTTTCTTTCTTTCTTTTTTATTGCAAATGGAAGAAAATGCTGTTGAACTTTACAGGGTCCAGAATCGATCGGTCAGTGGATGAGAGAAGCGGGTAACTTAGGGGCTCTCAGTCTTTTGGGCAAGGTCTGCATGTAAGTGATCAAATATTAGGGTGACAGATGCCTCAGAGCAGGCCCGTTGTCCACACAGAAGGAGCAGAGCCAGTGTGGGCTGCGTGGGGAGGGGGCCCCTGGGCTCCAGCTTGGGGGGGCCACTCGCCTGGAGACACTGGGCCCCCAGCCGACAGACTCTCACCTGCGTCACGGGCTGTCCGCCCCTGTGTCTACCCCACCAGCACACGAGCAGGCTGGAGTCTCTCCCAGGAAAAGTTTTGAAAAACCTTCTGTGGACCCCACCTCGCCCACCAGAGAGCACCCCATTTTTCTACTCCCTCTACCGTCGTCTCCTCTAAACATGTGTCCACACCAGAAGTTTCCAGAGTCTACAGAACAGAGAGAAGCCCCTGGGGCAGCAGGTTCGAGGACCCGAGGCCCTGAGGCTGGAACGTGCGGGACTCAGTGGAGGCCAGGGGTGAGGAAAGGGGATCGAGGCTGGAGACCCGGCGGAGGCCGCAGGAGGACGCACATTCCTGTGAGTGAGGTCCGGAGCCTTTGGAGGGTTCGCAGTAGAAAGGGCAAAATCAGATACATCTCTGACCAGGTGGGGCTCTCCGGGGGGGCAGGGGCCAAGGGAAAGGGAAGTGGTGACCCTGGGATGCCGCTCGCGGCTTTCTGGCCTCCCCGACCTCCCCAGCCACGAAAGGTGATGAAAAGCCCCTTTCTAGAGGAGTGCTGGGACTGGCCGCCGCTGCAGGTGCGGAGGTGGCGGTTACCCGGAGGCATCTGAGGTCCGAAGGGCCGGATGACCGCCCCACGCGCACTGCAGGGCAAGGGAAAGCCGTCCCTGAAACCAGGCCTCCCTCCCAGCCAGAGCCCCAGCGCACCTCCCGGCTGCCTTCCTGCTGCCCAGGCCAGCTTCTGCCCCCTGACCAGCCTCTCCCTTCCCTCGCGGTCAGGATCATCGTGTCTCAAAAACAAGGCAGCCGAGGCCTCGGGCAGGACTATGGGAGACAGGGAGCAGGTTCGAGCCTGGCTGCTGGCGGCACAGGCCACTCCTGTGCTTTCTGCTCCGTGGCCGTGGCCGGGACGCCTGAACGATGCGGGAGGGACACGAGGAAAGGGCTGCTGCACCCCATGGGGAGGGGCGGGGTCAGGATGCCCCAGGCCCAGGGCAGGGGTGGGAACGAGGAAGGCAGACCCTGGGCTGGCATCTCCCTCCGCCGCCTTCACTCCTAACAAGCCTCCTCTTCCTCTTGTCTTGACATCGGTGGGGGTGTAACAGGGGGGCCCCAGCCTGCTGGACCCCGGCGGCTCGTACCTGCTCCAGGGCAGCGTCTCTGGATTCTGGGGACAGACAGGAGGGAGCAGCACCTGCCAGGCTACACCAGAGGTGTGGGGGGCGGGGCTTCCAGGACCTTCAGCCCACACTCCTGGGGCCCCACTTCCCACCGGGAACACTCCTCTTGCGCCCCCACCCCCTGAAAGAGACTTCCCAGGGAGTGCTGCAGGGCCGTCAGACCGCCCGCCCACACCCAGACACACCCAGCGAGCCCGTCCTGGGCCGGACGGGTAAACACTGTCCAGGGCCGGGGGAGAGCCAGCGCCTCCTCCGCCTGCCCGGCTCAGGTAGGCAGAGCCTGGCTGTGCACTGCGTGTCCCCCCGGAGGATGCGCTCCTCTTCTCACAGACTGGCCCTCCCTGTCTGGACGAGAGCCACCTCCCCTGAGCAGGCAGCGTTCTCTCCCTGGAGACAGCTTGAGCGGAGCTGAAGCCCCCACACTCTTTCCGGCAGGTTGCTGGGGAGCCAGATGGTCTCGTGGGGGACAGGCATCAACACTGGCCCCACACGCCTAGGAAGCCGGACCCGGAGCCGGCGGGTCAGAGCTCTGGCAGCGGGGGCAGCGTCTTGGCAGGTCTGGGGGGAGCCGGGAGCTGGTAGCTGTGGGGGACGCTGGGGCATGTGTCTGTGTGTCTGGCTGTCTGGAGGGTTTCTGCAGCCGTGAGACATGCAGCTCTGAGGGGAGGGGGCAGCCCACTGGCACCGTGAGGGCCTTCCCCACCCAGCTGGGCATCAGACTCTTGGCCACGAGGGGTGAGTGGTGCCATCCAGCCCAAGTGTCTGTCCCCAGCCTCCCTTTGCAGGGCTGTTTACCTTGGGCCATCCTGGAGATGACAAGAAGGTGTCAAGCGTGGCCAGGGCCCGGCGTGTGACACAGGATGCAGTTTACTGAAGCAGCTTCCGGGTCAGTGGTGGGTGCTCTAAAGGGCGTTTTGACATGAATTTCGTCATTCATCCTCTTCGCTCTGGGCCGGGCTTCTCCGCCCTGGCATGGTTAACACTGGGCCAGACCACTCTTCGAGGCCGGGCTGTCCTGGGCACTGTAGGATGTTGGGCAGTGTGTCCCTGGCCACGACCCACCGGATGCCAGTAGCACCCCCTACACACAGGCGTGACAACGAAGAATGTCTCCGGATGTTGCGAAATCGCCCCGGTTGAGAACAACAAACTTAAAGAAACTGATGAAAATTTTGGTCCTGAGCAAAGCAAGATGCAGAGACGCAGGAATGCCAGGGTTCCATCTTGCAGAGCCATCGACTGTGCACATGTCTGTAACCTGGAGGACAGTGGCAATCACACACCGTGCTGTGACGTGGGTGTCAGGGGACAGAGGGAGGCAGGGAACACAGGAAGATTCTTTTTGAAAAGTGTCCATGATAAAACAGCATGCATGCTATTTCATTTATGTGAAATGAAATATTTGGGTGGATCTAGACAGATGTACACAAAGGAGTTCCTCGAAATGTTAGTGGGGTGCGGCTGGCTGGTGGGGGCTTGGGTGAACGATCTATCCACCCTGCTCCGTGTGCGGGAAAGCAGTGGTCAGGTGAGGGTTCGATCCTGAAATGGACAGCCCCGGGGGCAGAAATACAGGTATTTTCCCCGTACTTCCTGTATAACACCATCGGAGCCTTCTCAGCCATAGCTGCCGGGGTTCACTTTCAAATGACCCTGCCGTCATCTAGCTGCCTTGGTTCTCACCTCCCTTCAGGTTTTCCTTTGCCGAGTCCATTGCCATCCCACAGGGCATCTTTAACGAGGTGGGAACCTGGCCTCCCCTGACCCCATCTCCTGATACCTGCCTCCCCTTCCCAGGCAGGCACCCCTCGGGGCAAAGCCAGGGCACCCCGCTCAACAAAGCCGCCTGGATGCCAGCCCCTGCAGCCCCCTGCGGCAGTCCCAAGCCCCTGTCGCTGTGATCTAGTCTCCAGTGACTCCAGAAAGAGCGGAGGAGAGAGTGGCAGAGAGGCTGTCCTGGGGCGGGCAGGAAGCCCGTGACGTCATTGGCTCTAGGAGACTGCCACCTCTGAACTACTTGAGCAGCCGTCCCAGACTG